CGCTTTCCTTCTAGTCTGCTAGTGACTCTGGCAAGGTTTTAAACATTTACCGCTGACTAACGTGGACAACATTGAGAGGGTCCTGTGGACAACATTGAGAGGGTCCAGAGGAGGGCCACTTAGGGGGCAGCAGGGCAGGCCCTATGAGGAGAGGCTACAAGACCTGAACCTGTTCAGTCTCCACAAGAGAAGACTGAGAGGGGATCTGGTATCCGCCTATACTGGCCAAGGGAGACCAGCAGGCAATGGGAGAGTCCCTGTTCCCCCAAGCACTACTGGGAGTAACAAGGAATAATGGTCATAAGTTGATGGAGAGTAGATTCAGGCTAGATATCAGGAGGCACTGCTTCACAGTCAGGGCAGGTAGGAGCTGGAACCAACTTCCAAGGGAAGTGGTGCTCGCTCCTACCCTGGGGGTCTTCAAAAGGGGACTAGATAGACACCTTGCTGGGGTCATTTGACCCCAGCATTCTTTCCTGCCCATGGCAGGGGGTCGGACTTGATGATCTGCTCAGGTCCCTTCTGACTCTACCAACTATGAAACTATGAAATGCTCATAGTTAATCTCTTTCAAAGGAGTAATAAAATACAATTGCTGCAGAAAACTAGGCAAGTGGTCTGTAGAGTGAAATCTGATTTTAAAAACAAACTATGTATAAATATGCAAAGACATAAAAGAAAGTTACCTCCATTGACAAGACTATTTTATTGTCATCTAGCTTTGTTCTACTAGGCATTCTTGCTATGGATATTGTATCACTCTTTGATATATGAATAATCAGGATGTAGAAGTTAATAGCACAACATGCATTAATCTACTGGTAGGCAATTTGAATAGTGTGAGTAATTCTATGTCAGCAAATTTCTTAGGATACTATGTTATTCTCTTTAGTGCAAGTGAGAATTTAGTCTTAGATTGCCTAAGATGGAATCAGATACACAGAGGTCTGAAGTTTGTTTATATTACTCCAAACTAATGGAACAATATGATCACATCCAATTAAACCTTTTATTCCAGACTTTGCAATCTTCAAAATATCTTCTGGCATGTTTTTTGATCTTCATGTAGATGCATGTATGCTAATTAGATTCAGTCATGCACTGGGGCTTTGGTGTGTATGTGAGATGTCATAAGCAGGGCAACCAGTTAAAGTTTTAAAACACATTTTAAAAGTAAGATACACATTCACACATACAAAAT